ATTAATTTTGTGACTATAACACGAAATGCTGTGAGACTGGGTTGCACACTGGAGTACTTTACGTTTGCCTGATTGGGAATCATGTCCAATATTTGCCATAATTAGTGTATGACCAGGTGCATCCAATCCCCCAATCGGGGCCTACAGAAAGGCCTGAAGAAGGCGGAAGTTTCCTCTACTAGTTTTTTTAACCAGTATTATAATGCATTTAATTTAATAAAAAACAAATGTCTTAGTCTATATATTAATGATCTGCTGATGTGACTTCTCAAGCAACTTTGCCTGGAGTTTTTTATACACAATGGCATATAGATATGTATTTATTTCACACATGGCAGTTATTTTAAAACAAAACATGTACACTTTACAAAACATTTTTTATAGCGCATGGTGGAAAGGAGCAGGGAGAAGAACATCTTATTTGACCTGCCCCTTCTTAAATATTCACAGTATGCCAGAGGTTGCATTAACCAAATATCTTTTTTTTCTAACACTTACAGGAAAATCTGTCTCAAATTCTGACTGAGGGCGATCTGCCCCAATTTTTTATAATTCACAGCTCTTATACAACCATATGTATATATGTTTTCTATCTATCTATGAGTAACGCTCTCACCAGCTCCATCACTTCTGATTCAGGGTCAAAGGTGATTCAAAGGTTACCACCTCGATAGACAATCTAATAAAAACACACTAAATTAAAAACTCAAACCCTGCTAATACATTCATGCAGAACGGTGATCACACATATTCATGGTTTCTTGCTGGCATTCTTCAAAGCCCCGTGCCCCTCCTCTCACTAATCTGTGCAGAGAATTTAATTCAGGCCATGTTTTAAATATACAGTGCATTATTCTTTCAACAAGATGCTGAGTCAACAGTTATTGTGTTGATAATAAAAACTGTTTTAACAGAGAGACTGGCTGCCTCTGATAACACTAAATTAATATAGTGTATGTAGAAACAAATACTGCAGAGCCAAGAAGCCCAAGAGGAGTCAGCGGAATAACATTATCCAATCCTTTTCATCTCTCCAACATTATTTCTGCAAGTCTTTCTTCAAACTACCAATAAGTATGAGCTGATTTCCTTCAAATGGGGACCCAGCTTGACAAACATAGCTATACGGCGAGCCAATTTCTAGATATTCAACACAAAAAAATATGACCTATGATGAGCAAAAGCCCCTAATGTCATGTATTGTCAAAAAACAAAGCAGCATTTGCCGACCATTTTCACACCACTGCATTAAAACAGGCTAATGCAGCCACGGTGAAAAGAATGGCCACTTGTTTCAAGTATTTTTGAGCAACCTTCAGTATAGAATAGTAGTACAATATTCAAGAACACCACAAGCATTTTTACCACCTACCAAATAAAATAGAAGAACAGGCACATATCTAAATTGTAAAACTGTTTAATGTGATCTTAATGTTCACACAAATAGAAAGTAGTGGATCACTCACATTTCAGTTTTTCTCTTATAAAACAAAGGCTATTCAAATAAAGAATTAAACATTGGAATATTTACAACGTGTATGCTAATGCAGAAAGGAGGATGACAGCCAAAGAATAATGACAAAGACAAAGCTAATCGTTATATTCCAGAAGCTGTCATTTTTCAATACAATCTTTAAAAAAACGTATGAATGTACATTTTTCTTCTTTTTAATTAGCTAGCAACTTCAGCTGTCAGATAAATATGGTATCATGCAGCACAATGCAATTTGTCTTTATGCAGCCAAATCTATTGTTTGTCGATTCAAGTGGGCCGAGCTAATGAAGCTAGAGTCAATATAAGGATTCATAGTGATTATAATGTGTTGTCTTTCATATTGCATGTAGCTACATGCCTCATCAAATACATTTCCAAAATGCTTCAACACAAGTTCATACATATTGCATGATACACACATACAGTAAAGTACCAGAACATGACCATGAAACACATGAGTCTGCTCCCCTGCGGTTAGTTAGACCATAACAAGGCAGCGGGGGAGAGTGAGCGGAGTGTGCTTCTTTAAACATGTAGGCCTATACCGTATCTGCAGTGTTTGAATCATGTATGTGTGTCCTGTCTCTGTAGAGCGCAACACTCTGCTCTCTGACAACGATATATTCAGAGCAGTTTAAACCTTATCTACGGCATCACTACGTTATAAAGACGCTCAGAATACACTTCAAAAAGCCACAAGGATACACCCCAATGAAACTATAATCTAATATTGATAGCATGTAAGACCGGTATAAAGTCACCTTTATGCTGTGTCTCAATAAGCTTACTTCTATGCATACGTTTGCTGTTTTTTGTCCATAACTACAAAAGTGTATTTCTAAATGCACTCAACATTCGCCATCTTGGCTACGTAGAAAAAGTTGTGCGTCCGTTGCGGTTACTCCGGTGAACAAAGTCATGTACTGGCCTCTTTTGATTTTGGAGGGGTTAATTGAGCAGTCTGTAATGATTTGTTAAAGTTGCTAGCTAGCAACTTTATCATTCGCGGTAAGCAAACTAGCTAGTTAGCTCGCTGTGTGTGATTTGAGACAACAACACCCAGTCAAAACACTGTGCACGTTTTTACACTGTACAACATGCTGATCTCTCCAGTTACTTCCTGAGAGCCACATGAGCAGTTTTTTGAAAAGCAGAATTCAGAGGCAGAAGTACCGTACCGAGAGCCTGACACATTATCAGAATGTTTTATGTATGCCCCCCTCACCCCCAACTCCAACAAAGGCTCTAAAGCCGCAGCAGCAGCAGCGTGGCTGAGAGGCACCACGGTGCTTTGATTTGCATGCTCTCAAGGTTAACATAATGAGGTCAAAAATAGACTAAAACTATTATACCTGGTTGGCTTAGAAGAAATGTTCTTTACATATAACACAAAAATGTAAAGTTATAAAATCCATTAAGAATTTCATTTGAGGGTCAGAATGACAATAGGAGGCCTGTGAGAGATAATGAGTATCATCTTGTCCTAAAACCAGACCATCTACATTCATTATGCACCGCTCATGTGTGCCAACTGCCAAGTGGAGCTGGAGACAGTGGGTGTTTCTCAATCTCGAGGAAACTGGCTTCCAAGCCAATATTTCAAGGATACTACGTCATCGAGTGCCGCCGAAGGACTGTTCCAATCTCCAGCATACTTGGAATTCCACCGAGGCCGCGTCCTTGGTTTGGGGGAAATTTCGAGGCTGCACATGGGTAGACTTTGCGTCCTTAAAATCCCCGCAATGCTTTGCGCACGGACCAATTAAAAAAACCCTTGCGGAGAATGGCTGAACCGATGCAGCACACATTTAAATGTAAGTATGTAGTGGCCTAGAACATGTGTTGGTAAATATGTTACTTTGTTACATTTGATTGTTATCACC